TGTTTCTACGGTTATATATTTCAGGTGTCTCACGACCAAGACTTCTTGAATAGCGTCTGCGAGGAGATCCTCCACCTGGACCACCAGAGGGTTAACCAGTACAAGGGAAACTACGACCAGTTCAAGGAGATGGAGGCGCAAAAGCGGCGGCAGCAGGTGCGCACGAGTGAATGGGGTGGAACGAGTGCTCCCGGNTCTCTCTCTCTCTCTCTCTCTCTCTCTCTCTCTCTCTCTCTCTCTGTGCTGCGTGTTTGACTCTGTATTTGTGGTCTGTGTGGTCTGTATGCGTGTCTCTCGCTCTTTCCCTACTCACCTCATTGACAATTTGTCGTATGCGGAATACTTATGATGTACTACTTCGCCCTCTCGAGTAGCGCGGAGAAGGAGGAAGAGATGGGGGGAACGGGCGGGAGGCCGCTTTCTTGTTTTTGTTGTGTGTTTTCAAAGTTCGTTTTAGCCCCCACACTTCCTGCACCACCGCGTGCCGCTCAGTACCCCCCACACACATACGTGCCGGCCGAATGAATCCCCCATGTCGTTTTTGTGTGTCGCAGGCGAAGGAGTGGGAGAAGCAGCAGCGTCGGCTGGCTGCGTTGAAGAAGGGTGGTCAGTCTAAGGGGAAGGCCGAGGAGACGGTCAGTCAGTCAGCTACACTAGACTACAGTCCAGTCCAGACGGTCGTGGCCTGTCTTTCTGGCGTTAGGAGTACCCTGTGTGTTCGGCTGTTTGTGTTGCACATTCCATGGTATGTACATGGCTGTTTCAATGTGTGTGTTCTACAGTTTTTTGCACCCCATGGGTATAGCACCGCCGGAACCTGCATATTACCGTTGAAGCAGTTGGGACGGCGCTGGTGGAGGATGGTTGGGGTATTATGTTGATATCCGCGGTGGTGGTAGCCCGTTCCCGGCGGTCGCTCCGACAGTAAACGGTAACATATATCGCCCAAGAGGGGGGAAAGAGACACGACAGGCAGCAGCGGCAAAGTGGTTCGTTTAGTGTTCCTTGATTCCCTTCGAGACCAAAGAATGGTGAAATAGCGCCGTTGTGCAGTTCCCGACGTGTTGTTGGCGACTAGAAAAATATGATTTTACAGGCCATGCTCTTTTCGATACGTGCGCACGCCGCCCCAGCAACTCGTTTGTTCTCCACTTCTTCTACTCACATAGCGCCGGTGAAATTGCTGGACACAGAGTAAATCACCAAGTAATTCCGTACGTTGAGTAGCGCGCCCCCTCTTGGCTAGCGATGGTCGATGCGCCTGGCTCAAATCGTCGTTATTGAGCCCCCCCCACTGCTTCCCCCCCGGTGTTGGCCATCGGGGTTGGGTTTTCGTCGCTTGGCGACGACGTTGTGAAACAAGCCGCCCCCCCCAGTGTTTGCCATCGGGATTGGGTTTTCGTCGCTTGGCAACGACGTTGTAANAGAACCCTCACTCCGCGCAAGGGGGATGATCGCACCATGTTATGTTACATTCGTCAAGCACCATCGAGGCAGTTACACAGTGCTTACAGCTGTCTCAGGAAGCGAAAGCACCAGAAAATATATTAAGTCATACGCAGCTGTCATCCGTACGCAAGGAAGTAAGCACAAGGTGCCGAACACCCTTAGCAGGATGCAGCGCACCCTTCATGCGACTCGCCGAATATCTCACGGCGCTTCGCGCTTGGTGATGCGAGAGCCTGGTTCGGTGAGAACCCGGCGTGCTCCGTCCCGGCCTTATAG